GAATCCTCCTCGTACACACTGCGAAACACAGTATCAAATCGAGGAATTCATACATAATTCCCTCGATTGACCCGTGTACTTTACATCTGGCCAACAAGTGCTATACAAATTAAAAACTCGAGTTTCATGAAACCATACTACATTAGTTTCCTTCACACAACTGTGCGAGGATGTAGAGAATATACATATTCTACACTATTACAAGAACCTCCCGGATGGAATAATCGGGAGAAGGGCGAATAATCCCCTTGAACCCTTGCTGGCCAAGAAGATTTACACATTGGTTTAGCTTATCTTTGAGATCGACAATCTCTTCATCTTGGGCATGTACCCTCATGAGCAGTTCCTCTTGAGAACTCCAGGTTCAAGGATCAGCAATTACTTCGAGTTTCTCGAAGATTGGAAAGTCAACCTGGTGATCTAATAGTAAGTTCTGCAGGTCACTGATATATCCCATGAGAAGTTCGACCTCCTGAACTCTCTCCTTCAACATATCCATCGCGGCAATGAATCTGCGAGTTCGAATGGAAATCATGTGCTGCACTCGAGCCAACACGTGATGCTTCTCGAGAAACCATGGCGATACAACGATCTGGTGGGCTTGTCTCAACCGGGTATTTTCCTTCTGCAGGGCGACAAGTTCATCATGAATATCGGTCTCGAATGTCAAAGAATCCCCAAAATCTTTGTATTTCTGGAAATCTCGTCGTTGCATCTCCGCACGAAGTTCTTTGATTTTGTTAATCAGATATTAATTGACTCTCACGTTGTGTGCCTGCATCATGTCGAGGAGGTCAACCTCAAGTTTTTCTACTGTCTCGATGCTATGAATGTCCGCACGACCTGTCATAATGCCACTAATCATGGAGTATAGGGGGAACTCTTTCACCTGTTCCTCTGACAACACCATGAGGTGAACATGATAAATAGATCAACCATCCTGCTCCAGCAGAGGAAGAAGATATATTTACATTAAGGCAAAACCAGGCAAAAGGAACAAAATCCATTGGAAAAAAAAAGAGAAATGATAATTCAGCATATAAATTTTTAAGTGTAAAAATCCTAACAACTATTACATGAAGAGAAAGTTCATACAGCATCTCGATCAAGCGACGTATCCTTGGATTGAGACGTCTCCCCAGCCTTTCTCTGCACCCCGGAATGGCCAGTGTCGGCTACATCCTCCTCAGTAGCTTCATCATCAGCATCTTCGAGCTCGATCCCCATATATTCATCTGGCACATCAGGAATGGGCTCCTCCTCACTTGGGCCTTGGGCAAAAATTGTAGGAGTATCTCCAGGGAACGACGCGATGTCCGAGGAAGAACTCATCTTAGCCATGGCTCCCGATAGGGCTTCCCATAGAGGCAGCTGCTCGATGCTGAGCTTGGTCAAGACCTTCACCATCGCCTCGTACATTGTTTTCCTTGGCTCCGGGATCAGGAGTTGTTTGAACCATTTAGCCTTGATGGGTCTGTCATCCCTAAGCCTCTTAAGGCCTGCTACAGTAACTTGGTGCGCGCCGAGTCTCGTAGCAGTCAGGTTCACCTCCTCGATGGCGGCTGCCATCCCACTTGTTGACATCATCCTATACATGAAGGCCACACACCACTTGTGCAGGTCCTCCTTCGAGATGTGTAGGTTGGCGTAACCCTTAAGTTGCTCCTCGAGCTCATTGTACTTAACCTGCACGGTAGCCAATTCCTGCTCCAAGGCTGACACCTGCCTCGACTTCTCTTCTAGGGCGATCTTCTCGATCAAGGCCTGATCTTGTTCCGCCCACACTAGAACCAACTCTTCCTTCAATTTCCTTATGTGCATCAGGTTCGCCATTGAGCATGCACTCATCTGTATACAGTCGAGGTGTTAAGGAGGGTTTATCTACACCATGGTCACAAGCATAGGTAATCAATTGCAATGGAAACCTTACCAATATTATGCTGTCAGTCTCATTCAGCTTCGCAGCGAATTCCTCCAGCAAGGGGCACTCGATCGTGGGTGGCTCGCTAAACGTGTGGGTTGCCACTGTCGGTTCCCCCTCAAACAGCTGAGTGCGCAATACTAGTGCCTCGCCCTCGAGAGGGTTTGTGCCTTGGTTGGTAGTAGAAGAGACATTGTCCTTGGCCCCACGGGCGGAACCTAAGGTGCTTCGGCGGTAGGGGGGGATAGTTTCCTCCAATTGTGCTATATTCTGCATCGAGGACATGTCGGATCTTGCCTTCTTGTTCTTCTCCTTCTCGGAGGCTTTGACGATTCGCCTCTTTTTCTTCTTCTGGCCAGCGACTGCAGTGGCCGTAACTTCCTCATCTGAATTTACATTGGAAAGGGATCTTCATCACCATATAATCGAGAACCATCATTACTCAAAGACATGACCTAAAAACAAGCAAGGAAGTGAAAATAATTAGTACCTTTCTTTTCTTCAATAGGGGCTCGAGAGGAGCCCCGAGTGCAGTCTCGACAAGGTTTTCTTCTTCCTTTTTCTCGATAGGGGTGGCAGGAATGAAATGCTGTAATGTATCCCATCTCACAACCTTGGAATACTTTTCGAGCTTTTTCAAGTCCTCCTCGAATTCATGGATCATTTCCCCATCTTCATCCTTCCATTCATCTTTTATCGCCTCATATCCTTTGACCTCTCGATAATTCCAGGCGACGCGGTATTTCTCTGGTGCCGCTACGCAGAGAAAGTTTGGCTTCCATATGGGGGACCCACTATACCCCTCTACTATCTTCCTAGAACCAGAAGTCAGATTTCTCTTTACTATATACCAGTCTTGGAAACTTGTCGAGGGTGTGGATACTCTAAAGAAATATCTCCGAAGGAACAGGCATGGTCTCACCCTTACTCGTTGACAAATTTTCACAAATCCGAGAACGTAGGTAATCAAATTTGGGGTGAAGCATGCTAAGGGGATTTTATAGTAATCAACGATCTCCTCGAACAAAGGAAAAAAGGGAGAATCTCATGCCTAAGAACATAAACCTGTCATATATGGTGATTTTTCCTTCTAGAGGAGTATTGGCCCTCTCGTTTCCTAGGGGGCTCTAGCTTCTAGATCTAGGGGCAGGTCATATTTGGCTTTAACGGAGTTTACCCTCTCAGCTCTATCTATGAAGGATGCAAAGTCGTCAACTGATCTCTGGTTTGGATCTCTAGTCATGATTATCTATTTGCAGGAAAATAGAGATTTACACTACAAATTCAACCAGAGAAATCTAAAACGGAATTCAAGTGATCAGATCTGAAGACATACTATTGAATGGGGGAAAGACCACTCGCCTTTGGAATTATAGCCTCCCAGTTTCTTCGCAATCCCTCAATCGTGGTTTTTCCGGCGATAATGTTTCCGGAGCAAGTATGTTGAATCAGGACTGTGGGTATTCTGGCACAGAGCAGCTAGAGTGCTTTGGCAGAGAATAGAACCTTAGTATTTCGGGATGAAATAGAGGGAAGTGGGCTTTTGAGAGTTCTTCTGGGTATTTAAGGCCAGAGTTAAATCCTCCCACGTTTCTGCGGTTACAACCCACGCTTTGACAGTTTGAGAGAATTTCAAGGACGCCGCAATGATGATGAAGCTGCCGTTGGGGAACGTGCCCACTACTGGGGCACGGTTGAATGAATTGGGCGGGATTATGAAACGGGTTACCTCCCCAGGTCGGATCGTGGTTAGTAGGCTTCGCATTAAGCTTCCTCAATGCAGCATAGATCGAGACTGGCACACTCATCTTGGGCCTATTCCAAGTAAGTCTATCTTGTGTCAAGTATTGTTTATCCCGTACAACTAACAGTTGACAGAGGCACTTGACGAGTCCATATCCATTACCGACATTGGACTGGTCCATTAACTGCGTAGGAGGTCCAACCGAGTCTGATAAGGCGGTTTAGGTAACCGAAACCTAGTAATATTTGGTTATCCCCCAGGTGCTTTCATGCCTATAAATAGGGTTGGTCGCACCACAATACGGGTACGCAATCTCTAGCTTAGCACACTACGCATTCAGACGTTCTTAAAACCCTTTACTGACTTAAGCATCAAAGTGTCTACCCTCGGGAGACCTCCGAGGCTTTATTTTGCAAGAAACACTAGCCGGAGTTCCAGTGTTAGACCGGCGGTGTAAAACCAAGCTTCGTCAACTATCAAATTTTTCATGTTGGAAAATGAAAGTTACGTACTCTCACATGAATGTTAGGTAGTTGTTGTTACATTAAACATTACCTTTCCATTTCAGATGATAATTGATTTTTAAAATTTTGTTTTTCTAGTACAAATTACACTAAATGTGAAAATTAAATTTAATTCATTATTCTGAGACCAAAAGACTATCAATCATAAATAGGAATGCGTTTGGACTCACTAATTTGCATCTCTCGTAGTCATTGTCGTCTAAAGATCTGCATCTAGTGCTGTCTTTAGATCCTCATTTCCCAATTGCGTCTTCATTTCTTCAATTTGCCACACTAAATCAGCACCATGCTTGCAAAGTATCACCTCAATCATCTGAAGAGTTTAACTTATGCCTAAGCAGGAGATAGGTAACTCCACCAAGTGATCACACCATCCTAATACTAATTTCTCAAGACTCGGGAAGTTATCATCATCTGACACCCTCCATCTAACTAAATTTAGCTCCCTCCTTCCATGTCCCAGTTTTCCCCTTCAAAATGCATCCCGGCGTAATGTGAGACTCTCAAGATTTGGTAGCCAATGAATTGTTGACATTTTACTCCATCGAAAATGAAGGTATCCCTGCTCCAGCTTCTTTAGATTCTGGGGAAACTTAAAGTTGAAATACAGTTTCAACTGATACTCCAAATCCATGTAGGGTGATTCAAGTTGACTCAAAGAATCTAGGGCTATAATCTTGAAGTCCTCAAAGCATGATGCGTTCTCATTTCCCAGATGAAGAATGCGTTTCAGTGTGCGGATGTTTGGAAACCTTCTGACACTATCCTCCATTGTTTGGAAACAATCATATTTTACCATGGAGAACATTTGTTAATTCTTTAAACAGAAGAGATCTTCAGGATTCGCTTTTGGCAAGGTCCACTCAGTACGATCATCTCCATAAGAGTATAGATGCCTTAATTTCTTCATATTCCAGAGAGTGTCTGGGAGATCAATCGTTATCCTTCCTTTAATAATCATCGTTTCCAAATTTGAAAGTTGCTCAATTATTGATGGGATTTCGAATCGGCTGTCTTTAGTTGCAACTGATAAGGCCAAGTAACGCAAGCGACTGAGTAGTAGAATTATACTTGGAAAGCAATCGAACTTGCAAATTCCCCTTAAGTCCACAACTCCTAAACGTTTGGACTGGCAAAGTTGGTATAGCACACCGTTCAAAGATCCTATACAATTCTTTGTGACTAGTACCCAAGAGCAAAGTGTGTAAACCATGAAAAAGCAGCCTTGACCCTGCAAAATCGCCCACTTCACAAGAGAAAACACGGAACTGGTATAGTATGCCTGAGTCGGTGAAATTGCCGGACTCATTACCACTTAAGCAATGCATGAAATGGCCTTCTTTGGCTTTTCCCAAGCAAAACTCGCGTATCACGTCATGGATGATAACAAATTCCACCCTGCCTCTTGATTCTTTCCCATCGACGATAACTAAATTTCTCTGTATTAGCTCCATTAGATAACCCTCCGCAACATCTTCTATGCACTCTCCTCCGGTTTTCTCCACAAAACCTTCTGCAATCCTTAGCCATAAAATCTCCTGAACAGATATTTCTTGGTCCTCTGCATAAGCTCCAAAGTAAAGAAGACATGGTTTCAAATGATTAGGCAAATGGCGATAACTTAACTCTATAGTATCCTTGCACCTATCTAAACTTTTATTCAGACTTTCTTTAATTTCTTCCCATTCACTTGGCTCCATATCTGATAGAAGTCCAGCAATAACTATAATCATCAATGGTAATCCCTTGCACCGTTTTGCTATTGCCTTCCCACGTTGGAAAATTTCTGAAGGACTACCTTCATCAAAACACATTTTCATCCTGAACAGCTCCCAACTTTTATTGTTGGTGAGCGAACGAAGAGAGTGGGGTGGTTGACTGTGTGGTTTAATCTGCAAACCCACGTTCTCGTTTCGGGTAGTCAGGAGAATCATACTTCCGTTAGCATCATTAGCGAATGAAATTTGCAAGTCACCCCATGCTTTAAAATCCCAAACATCATCCAAGATGATAAGGTACCTCTTTCCCTTCAAGAATTTGTAAAGAATTTGAGCTGAATCATCTCCATTCTTTTTTAAATCCTCTTCATCAGACTGCCAACCAAGACCCCTCAAAATCTCAAGTAACAAACTTGTTTTGTTGTATACTTGAGAAACTATGGACCATGAACGAGCATGAAAGTGATGAACAATGGAGTGGCGAAACACTTTCTTGGCTAGATTTGTTTTCCCTAGACCTGCCATACCAACAATAGAAACGATATCTAGCTGCTTTGGTCCTCTTGTGAGTCGATCAACAATCTTTTCTGCCTCATCATCCAAGCCCACTATTGGCCCGTTGAAGCCTTGAATCCTGCCAATTGATAGCATTTTGCGATGAGGTTTAGTAACATCTTGAAGTTTGAGAAGCTTTTTTTTGCTTGTTGAATTTTTTGAGGCTTCAATCTTAATGAGTTTGATCTCTTGTGTAATAATGGACATCATGACGGAGCTCTAAAGAACACCTTCAACGGACAGAGAATAGAGAACAAATTTTGTCTCATAGGCTATCGTAGAAATACGAACTTGGAGGGCTTTAAGGCTCTCATCGTGATCACATCTCTGCAAAACATCATCCAAGAAAGATCTTAAGAAATCCATGTCATCTTGGGCTGTTTGAAACATATCCTTTTTTGATGCAGTTACAGAATCATCCTCATCTGGGCTGGTTGACTTCATTTCTTCTAAGATGGAATCAATAAACCGCGGCAAGTTGGTCAGAGGAAAGTGAGGTCTCGGTGCCTCTTCTTCTGCTCCCTTGATAAGCTTGAGGTTTATCTCGAATTCTGAAAAAAGAAGCCCCAACATTTCAAGCAAGCCTCAATCATCTTCCTGTACAAGAAAAAGATAGCAAATAATAATCCCTGCATCACAAAAAAGTGGCCCAATAATATCATGCCTTTTTTCACACAGTTTATCAACCTTATCATCTTGCTCTCTCAAAATGGTCTTCAAGAATTCCAATCCCTCATAAACTTCATGAATTCGAACGTCAAAAAATCAATAGCAATGACTCCAAGTTACAAAGAACACTGACTCCAGAAGAAGAAAGATGAGAGAATCAACAAAGTCTGCCCAAATATGTGTATGACTTCCTGGAAAGGGATGAATGGATGAGTGTGACAATTTTGAAGCTTCCTGCAGGACTTCAACATAAATCCCACACACACGGGATTCAAAAGGCTCAACTCTTCCTCCAAATTTGTCAAGCTTATAGTGGAACTAATAGGAATCGTTTTTAATCATAGGCTTTAAAATACACCACAAAAATTGGAGAACGCAGTGTTCAATGTGAGTCAGGAGGTACCTTGTATGTCTGTGCTCAAGGCCTTGAAATTTGGCAAACAGAAGGAAGTTCTTCAAGAACTTAATGGGTTTTTCTGCCAGCTCAAGATCTTCAAAATCATCATCGTCATCATTCGCGCACAGGAAGTAACAGGGGGAATCAAGGACATCAATGAGTTCCTCCATTTCCAAAAGAGAGAAAGAACTCGACCTGAATAAGAGATACTCCTTTGGTTGAAAAAATCCAGACTCCAATACACCTGAGGCACAATCCAAAACTTGCTGGATTGAATCCGCAATGTGGGAATACATCTTAGCAACGAGAAGTTGAATGCTATCCATCCAATTGTTACAGAATGCAAGACGATCATTGTTGAATTCCGTCAACGTAAGATAGAGAAACTGAATTTCGACATAACTTTTGAGAAGAATTAATCTCCTCCATAGCACCGGTGACTGATTTTCTCTGTATGTCTTCGGCTTGTACCTTTCTGCACAAATATAACGTCTTCATGTCTGCCAACCTGTGCTTCAGTTTCTTGCGCCACACATCTTGCAACGATATTGGCACAAACTGACTAAATTCGCGAATTATTGTTTCTAAATCTTCTAATGCAATCTGAAAGGAAATCTCAACCACAGTATCCATCAACGCCGCCTGTAAAAATGGTGACGAAGCCTGGAATTGAGCTTCCGGCTCAACTGTGGAACTCCGATTAGGGCTACCTCTAAAACAGAGCCTCGGGGGTCTCCCGAGGGTAGACACTCGATGCTTAAGTCAGAATATAAGGTTACAGAGTAATATGTGTATGCAAATTAGAGCTAGAGATAGCGTACCAGCATAGTGGTGTGATCAACCCTATTTATAGGCATAGCGTTACCTTGATAGATGCCGAATCCCATTAGGTTTCACGTTCTGGAACCGCCTCTTGCAGAGTCGATTGGACCCCAATTGGTGAATGGGCCAGTCCAGTAACCCTTGGTGGATAAGGACTCGTCAAGTGCCCCTATCAAGTGTTAGTTATATGAAATTAACAAGACTTGACAAAATAAGACTGACTTGGACCCAGCCTAGTTGAGCAGATGGGTTTCGGCCCATATTGCACCAAATAAGCCTGTGGAGTAAGTAGTGGGTCATGACCTGATCCAAGAAGGCGACCCGACGTGAAATCTCGCCTACATTACAGCAGGCGTGCCCCACTACTTGACACGATTTCCAAACGACGGATGCACCATCATTATTGCCCCTTGAACTCCACCCCAACTGTCGAGTCGTGGGAGAGAGGATTTACTTATGCCAACAACAGAAGCGCTGGAGGCTTTTCACAAATCCTTTTCCACCAAAAACACAAAGCAAAATACAACCCTCTCTGTTGTTTTTTCTGCCTCCTCTATATATCGCTTGTTGCCCAGGACGAAAACCCTGCTCCGCCGCCGGGAATTTCCGCATCTAACGTCAGCAGAGAAAACCCACCGCACTGGGCCAACGTATTCCAGAAGGACATCCTCGAATTCTGACAAGAGACCTTTAACTTTCTTGTGTTGTTAGTGCCTGCCTTTGACCTTTTTGGTACCTAAATCTTGCTGGTTTAGCATATACTGTGATATATATGGCTACAAAAATCGTGTCTGACTTTGTATCCATCATAGATTCTGCCCATAAAGCTAAGGCAGTAGCCGAAAAATATAACTTCCCGATAGATCTAAAGTATCGAGCACCTGTAGGGAATGAAAGGGCTAATACTCCACCAGACGGAAAAATCACTGTCTATGATAGATTCTTGTTATTAGGGTTTATATTTCTCCTTTTCCCTCTGTTTAGAAAAATAATACAGCATTATAAGATCCCACTTGCTCGATTTACCCCAAACCTGGTCACAACGGTCCTTAAATTTGCGAGGCTTTGTGAACTGAAGAAGGTTACACCTCGATTACTTGTATGTAGGTACTTTTTCAAAGTCTGTGTCCCCTCGACTAAGTATAAGGATTGGTACAATGTGAAAAAGAACCCAAAGTCGGACGCCGACCAAATACTAGAACTCTTCGACAGTTCTCCAGTTTGCAGGCTGAATTATCTATTTGTGAAAGCACCAGAGGAATTTTGTATGGCTTGGGATTATCGCGAATCCCATGGATTAGGTGTTATAACAGGCGTCTGGTCCAAATCTGACAGAGCAAAGATCGAGGAGTACAGGGCCGATATTACGGCTCTGGAGTCTTTTACCACTTATCTTGGCTGGACCAAAGTGCAACATTACATTCCCCCCATTCCTATCGAGGATAAGAAAGGTACTGACTTATGTTGTGTATTTTTCTTGTTCTAGGTTATGTCGTCGAGCAAAAACACCGTTGGATTGTTTGGTGACTCCAAGCTTTTTGATATTAAAAATTCAGATGATGCAGGATCCTTGACAAAAGTTAGCAAGAAGAGGAAGCTAAGGAGGCTAGTAAAAGCGTCAGAAGCAGGCGCTAAGACCAAAAAGAAGAAGCAGACTCCTGCCGTCGAGACTGAAAAGCCGATCGAGGTGGAGAAACCAGTCGAGGGGAAGAAGGCAGTCGAGGAGGATGTCACTCTATCGGAGTCAATCCCTCCTACAGATAAAGGGAAGGAAAAGAATCTGATCCCTGATGCCAATTTAGTGACAGAGCTGGATCCAGGGTGGTTTGAAGGAGTCCAGCTGGATCCAAGGTGGTTTGAAAGAGTCCAGCCACCATTGGAAAAAAAGAAAGATGCTGCCGAGAACGCCAAAGTTTCTCCTGGGTCATCAACGTACACTGCAGCTGCTGCCATATACCACTTTGGGGACACCAGGGTTGAATGCCCCATTATTGAAGAAGCTGCGGCAATGATAACTGAAGAGGACTCACTAAAAATGGTAACTGTCGCTGATATTTTGTTGTTGATAGCTTGGAATTTATGTACAACTTATGACTGTATCCTGTTTGTAACTGTGACAGCTGACTACCTCAATGGCGAGCTTCCTTATGTGCAAAAAGAAATTGAAAGAGGGGATTGCCAGTTTGGAGCTCGAGAAAGGGTTCCTCGAGCATGAAAGAGCAATGCAAGAGGAATCGATGAAGAAGGAGCAGTCGGCGCGTGCTGCCAAGGAAGAAGAACTAGCTACTGTCCAAACTATGTACAAGGAACTTGATGCCAAGCTTAAGGAATATGGGGAGACCCATATACCGAAAGCAGACTTGCAGCAATGGATGGTAGCTTTCTGGTCGAGGATGGTGCCCACAGGAGGGATGACCAGCGTCATGGTGGGCATTGGTGAGGCAGCCATTACACTGGGTGGCCACGGCGTAGCTGTTGCCGCTCTCGAAAGAATGGAATCCGGGAAGAATGTCAATGCATGCTGACTTCAACAATTCATAAAGCCAAATCCTCGAAGGACCCTGCATGAAGCAATGAAGAATGGACTGTTGCACCTTTCCACTGAACAGCTTCCTCTGTTTGAGCCCTTGTGCAGCGCCATTCCCCAAATGGGTTCACCGTCGAAAATTACTTCCTTCCAGGGTGATGCACCAACAGTGTTGCTAAATGAGCCTGGGGAAGAGATGCGAGTGCCAGAGCTTCCTCGAGATTTTATTGGAGTTGAACTGGTGTCCGACGATGATTCCTCGAAAGGAGAAAGTGCCGGCAATGAGAAGGTGCCTTCTGTCGAGAAGGAAGTTGATCCGACCCAGACGCCTGTCGAGGGAAGTAGCAAAAATCATCCGAACAATTCGCCGAACCCACATGCCGTATGAATTCTTCTCTTGTAATAGGATTTTTGCTGCTGGGATTGTAGACCTCAGCTTTTGTAGCTATTGAAAAGTTTTTATAATCATTGCACCTATATAATGCAGCCTTCTTTCCCCCTCTCTTGTTGTTGTTGTTTTTTTGAAATGCCTGATGTGTTTTCGTTGATTATGTCAGGAATCATACTTTGTCCATCAGGTACACTTGTTGATCTTAGAGCATGATGAAACCAAAGATTTCCCAATGTACTCCCTGATTTCATTAGCAATGAGAAAGTTCGGGAACATTCACAATACTTCCATCGTGAGGGCCCTTGAGAAAGAACTTGTAGATGCGGTCCAAGCTTATAATGTACAGATTCATTCTCACCTAGTACAGTGCTTTAGAGAAAAGGAAGAGGAGTGGAGACGAGGACTCCGTCAGTATGACCTCAATCTTCAAGATTCCTGGATTCTAGAGTCCAATGTCCAAGATGAGATAAAAAAGTTGATGAAAGAGAATGCCCAGCTGCGGTGCCGTGAGGGTATTGTAATATCCCCGTGGTTCCTCAAAAATTTTGACATGCTGGCACTTGTCGAGAAGCAGATACAGGTCTGTACAGAATGCTTTATTGCTGCAATCAAGTTACTGAAGAGGAGAACTAAGGAAGCTGAGTTCTACTCAAAACAATCGGCTGTTCTACAGAATTTGTTGGCTGATCACGAAATTCCACTGCCCATTCTCGAGGGGCTTGACCCAGAGGACGAAGCCAAGGAAAGGACGGCCGTCGAGGAGTATCTGCTCAGGATTGACGAGCAAGATTGGGAAATCATCAACTTGAAGGATAAATTAAGCCATTGTATTAATCAGCTTACAGCTTTAGGATTTTCTGGCGTTATTAAGCCATCTCAGTTTAACTATAGAGGAACGAATCTCCGAATCTGAAGATAAACTGATGTATTTTCCTGACCCTGCACTTGTTATAAATGACAAATTAATTTTTAAAACTGAATTTGTTTGTTATTTGTATCTTAACTTTTAGATTATAAGAAAAAGGAATAAGAAACGTGAAAATTAATAATTAATAATTAAATAATTCAATCGAGTTGAAAAAAATTAAATAACCTAGAAGAAACAACTTTTCTTAGCTAATTCTTTTAGTTTTTCTTTTTGTTTAAAATGGTAAATTATTAATTTTCATGTTTACTTTAACTCAAATTTTTCTTCTTCATTTCTTAAATTTTTTTAAAAAAATTTTATAATCTAGAAGTTAAAATACAAAAGGAAAATAAATTTTTAAAATTTAGAATTATACTACCAGTGTATACAAGTTAGGAAGTATAAGAAGAAGAATTATAATTTTTTTTTAAAAAGATCAAAAAATAAAAAATAATAAAATGACAAAAATACCCTTGAACCCAAAAGCATCTGAAAAATGGATTTTTGTCACTATTTAACCTCCAAAATTAACAGAATAATCTGAAATGGATTAAAACTTTAGTAAGGTAACCTGTGTTACAAATAAATTTAATTGATGACCTAGAGTGGAAATATTTTAGAGGTTAATGACTTGTTTTAAGGTTCACTCTTGTATTTATATAAGCATGTTAATCTTTTTAATAATATTTGTTTAGCAATAAATACACTATTTTTCTGATTTATTTTATTCTTCCTAACATAAAGATTAAAAACATTTAAATGAAACTAATATTCCACATAAAAATAAAATATTAGCTCAAATAAAAAATAATATATTAGTATAGTTTAGTGTATTAGAATTTAACTAGAGAGACTACATGGCGTAGTATAATTTATAAAAAAAATGTTTATACTTATCAATGCGAGGTTTAACATTTTGTAATAATTATTTGAGATATTAATATATCTTACTGTAGAGGAAGTCTTACTAGCTTATTCTATATGAT